GCTTATATGTCTGGGGCCATAGAACAAACACTGAAGCACCAGAATTTCAGAATATGAGAGAAAGGGCGCTGAGGTCTCCAGCAAGTAGACAATTTTGAAGAGCAGGGCAAGCTGGTTGTAGGCCCAGAGAAGGGTAGAACTTAGGTGAGGTGAAAAGGAAGGGGAGTGTTCCCCTAGATTTAAGTGAAGATAAAGCATCAGAGTGTACCAGATTGTTGGGGGTTGAATATGACAAGACCTTGGTGGTTGGGGTGAGCCTATGCACGGTGTACAAAACGAGAAGTATGGTTATTAAGGGAATGGTGCAGTTTTGAAAGAGCCATGGGGGAATAGTGTTGTGTGCAGGACAATTTTTCAGGCCAATTAATGTTTTAGGACAATTTATCACACAATGGAGGGTAGGCAAGATTTCTGGAAGAGAAAGATGGGAGAGAAAGAAAACGAAACACAGGTGCTATTATATTAGGAAATAAAGCTAGGACTCGAGTAGAAGGAGTTAGATGCCAAAGACGTGTACATATGTAAAAGACAAAAAAGAAAAAAACCTGGTGAATAAATGTAGGACTTGGTGAATAAATGTAGAGGGAGAAGGAAAGGGAATATCTGAGAATGATTCTTCATAAATTGATTAATGTAGGCAATCCCAGAGGAAAATGGGAGACACTAAATTGAGTTACACTAATATATTTCAGGTAACAAGGAGTCACTAAGGTGCTAATGTTCAAATGGCAACTAGAAAGATGAGGATGTTGCACAGGACTGACACTAGCTCTGTGGATATGGAGCCATCACCAATGTATTGACCAAGGGGATGAGTGCATGATTCGGTAACTCCAGGAGATACTATATGATGACAGCAGGGGAATAAAGTCTTATTTCTACATTTGAATAATTGCAGCAGGGAACCAAACATAAAAGATAATACAGTGACCAGAAAAGTTGAAGGAGAGAATGTTCAATGCAGCATCACAGACCAAATAGAAGAGTTTCAACAGCAATGATTGCAGCAAATATTTATGGTTTCTATTCTATGTCAAGTACTGTTAAAAATTTTACATATATTATTTTGTTTCATTTTGTCCTCACAACAATTCTATGAAGTTAAGATTAAGTGACTAAAAAGTACAAAAAGCAAGTATAGAATATGTGATTGTTGAAAGAGCAAAAGTAATACAAATGTAGAAGTCGTAGAAATTAACATTTATTGTTTGCTATGTACTACCCATTGGGCTAAGTATTTTACATTCTGTCCTATGATGTAACTATTATTATCACCGTTTTTAAAAGCGAAAATGGAGGCTTAGCAAAGTTCAGTAACTTCAAGGTGTGTGAGAACAAGCTAAGATTAGACAAATAATCAGGGATTCGCATTTTATTTTGTATTTGTTAATAGCTGTGAGTTTTACGTTATAAAAGGCTTTTAAGTTACATAAACATGCCCCAAATAATTAATTCATGAGTATATATCCTACTCTGCAAGGAAGACCGATTTCATAACTGAAAAATTTCAAGAAGGATTAGATGTTTTCCTTCTGATTGCACAGGTAGTACATAGTTGCTACGGATATTAAAGTCTTCTCCATATGTTGTCTATGTGTTCTAGCAGCTTTGATTCTTTCCAAGAGCAGTGTTCTACATAGTCCAGTGTCAGTTGTAAAATTTCTTATTGGTGTCATGATTTATTCTTACTACATGCTACACAGCATTCTTTTCACAAATTCAAATTTTACTTAATGCTATTTTGAGAAGCACAATCAGGAGTCAAGAGCTGTAATAATGTGGTAGTTTTGATTTATAGCTTTCTTTCAGCATATACAAGAGAAGAATAGCTATGGTGGAACTCACACAATTTCAATGTAAACCCCAAACATGAACAAGTAGAGTATTTCATTGTGGCGACCTCTAATTTGTAAATTATAACAGTTAAAATAATTTTAAAAAGGAGAATATGGCAGGAGTCCTGAAGAGATGAAATTCATAGATGCTACATTTCTTTGGAAGATATCTTACAGATTCTGGCAAGATCCTGTGTAGTCCTGTTCTGCTGAGGAATAGCCTGCTGAGCTGCTAATGGTAATAATGTGAGATGTTTGACAATAGGGGACTGGAATTAAGTCAAGAGTGGTTTTGACCTGCCCATTGAATGGAGTTAGCTAATATATTTTTATGTTTCTTTTTCTAAACTTCTAAATTAATATGATTTTTATAAAAATCATTTGATTCTCTTCTTGGAGCCAGATATTGAATTCAAAAAACGTGGTTAGACTTAGTCTTGAAAATTTTACAAACCTACTTTTCTTTATTGCTGATTTTGGGATTTGCCTTATATTATTTCCTTTGGGATAATGATATGTGTATCAACGTTTATCTTGATTTTGAAACAGTTTAGGAGAACCATACTTCAAGTGTGTTATTTAGAACACATTGCCTCTTATTTTCAGTCTGTACTGGTACCTTGATTAATTTTTATTACATACAATGTATCATCCTTCCAAAGCTGATTTCAAATCTACATTTTATTTAATGGCATTTTAGTATTAATGCTATTTAATTTCTTATGGATAACATAAGAATGGTCAATCTCATAATGAGGGAAACCTTTGAAGTTGGACTTTTCGAATCCTTAATTTTCTTTACCATGATATTATTATGAATTTCAGAAACTAAAACTTTTTTTTTTTTTTTTTTTTTTTTTTTTTTTTTTTTAAAATTTAAAATTTTTTTTTTTTTTTTTTTTTTTTTTTTTTTTTGGTGGGGGTCTGAATTTCAACCAGAAATATGGTCTTCCTGCTCCAACTTTCCAGTGCCTATGTTTATAGGCTTCAGGTCCTGATAGTGTGTCAGGTCATTATGTTTAAAATGGAGGTAGGTCAGCCATAAAATGACTTTCAAAGGTGTTCAGCCACACATGCTTCAGAGATTTAATAACAAATACATAGCAGAGGTCTATAAAAAGTTTTATTATTTTATATATTCAGGTAGTTTTTTAGATGCTGTATCCCTAAGCCTTTTGACTTTTGCCTTTTATGATAGTAATAGGATCATTTCTGATTTACACTCTGCCTAGTACACTATATCTATGCTTATCATCCTAACAAAAAGTATGCTATGTGTGTATTCCAACCAACATTTACTGAACACCTGTTTCTACCTAGAATTGTGCCAAATTGTACAAATGTTTTCACTTGAGTCATCTCTTTAATGACTCTCTGGTGCTGCCCCCAACCCTCCCCCAACCATGGCCAATGAGATGAGAATAGCGTGAGATAGGGACAGTTAAGTGATCCTCAGAATTATAAAGCAGCGACATATCCAGGACCATATGGCTAATGAGGCATTGGGCAGAGATTGCATCTTGAAGTCTTCTGACACCATACCCTGTGCTTGATTAATGCTAGGATTCTAAACAAGATTCTGTTCCAAACTGCTGATTTTACAGGTGAAGAAATGAGATCCTGAAATGGTGAGAAATTGCCTGAAGTTCCAATGTTTTTCTTTCCTTTCGGAACTACTATGCTGTCTCCTAGCACATCCAAGTGTTTTTAGAAGTAAAAATAGACCTACTCCCTCATATATCTTCACTGTATCATACTGCCTTCCTAACGAACTCATCATTTCCAATAAATGGGAATGATTTTTACTCCTAATCCACTCCCCTCCCCATCCTGCCTCTTCTCTGAGGTCCAGATCTCTTTCTCTAGCTGTTCCTGAAATCTCCCCTGAATGTCTTACGAGAAAAAAAACTTAAAATGCAAGGTGTTTAAAAATTGAAATTGTTAACATCTTCCATAAATTTTCTGACTCCTCTTAAAGTGCTGGGATTTCTAGAGATTCCCTTTTTAGAATAATTATCTGATGTATCTCTCAACTCTGACTGCATTACCTCCTTTGCTTCCTTGAACTCAGGGTCCATATGCTTTTAATTCCACAATTTTCAGTTTTGAGCTCTCCCCTGAGTTCAGGATGCATTTTTTTCAGAATCTTGCTTGATATACCTCTCTGGGTATACTATATGTTTCTCAAATACAATAAGTTCTGTTCAAAACTTTGTATTTCCAACCATTTCCAATAGTATCCTATTTTTTCATTATTGATATTGATTAAAAATTTTACTATGTATTCAGGCTTTGAAGCTAAAATATGTGTCATTTTTTACGCTTCCCTAATTTCAGTCCTCACATTGTCACAGTATAGCAGGATTGCCTAAAATGCCACTCAAATTTGGCTTCTTATTTTTGTTCTTAGTTCCATTGCTTTCATTGAAGTGGTGTCTTAATCTCCAACCAGTGTCTTTCTACTCTAATCAAGTCCCTTTTACAGTAACATAAAGAGCATTTATTGGGTTACTAGAACGTTCCAGGAACTGTGCTAAGGTAAAAGCAGAAAATAAAACAAAAAAAAAATCCAACCCTTGAGTTAGGATGGCTTGTATTATTGTAGGTAAATTTCCATGATTTTTCCACTTTTATTTATATTTATCTCCTTCTCTTTCTATCCCTCCCACCTTTCCTTTTCTTTATGATACAAACTCAATACAAGTCATTTGAATTGAGTAACTTTTATTCATAGCTGTCATGTACAGTGTTTTCATTTATTGATGAGACTCACTCAAATCTCATTCTCAGTTTTTTCAAATATGAAGAAATTAAATGTCAATATTACTGAGGGCATTTTTGAACCACTTAAAAAGTGCAATGCCTAATTTTGGGTTAGTTGAATGAGATTTTAGAAAATCATAAGAAGGCCTGGAGGTAAACTAAATGATGATAACATGTGAGAAAGCCTTGCCATTTGTTTGGGCAGAATACATGTTACATTCGATTATGTTCTTGGAGTACATATAAATTAAACCTCTTCCTAAAATAGTTTTTTAAACAAAATTATTTCCTTAAGATTCTGAAGGTATTTTAAAGTGAATTTTTAGTGTGCTAGAAAATATTTTATAGTTTTTTATAAAAATAGTTGTCAGACCTAATTTAGTACTTTTCTGTTGCCGATAGGTACACACTGGTGGACATTTTGCGCGCCATCTTACTTTCTTTAGAAGCCATGATTGAAGATCCTGAGCTTCAGGTGAATGGGTTTGTTTTGATCATAGACTGGAGTAACTTCACTTTCAAGCAAGCCTCTAAACTCACACCAAGTATGCTGCGATTAGCTATTGAAGGCCTGCAGGTAGGATATGCAAATTACCTACTTCCTTGGTCTCTTCTGTTTGACTTCTCTTGTCTAATGTGTTAGAATGACAAAATGTCTTACTTTCAGAAAAACAAAAACAAAAAAAAAATTGTAGTTGTTGAGCACAAACATTAAAATACTAACTGAAGAAAGGATTATAGAAGAAACGCTGAAGAAAGAGAGTTTGTGACACTAGTACAGTGCTCCCTGTCTAAACATAAATACAGGTAATGAGCTGAGATTTTTAATCTTGAAAATCAGAACAAGCAATATTTTTTAGATTGTAATTGTAATGATTAGTTATTTAGGCTTGTTTTTGTTTCTCTTTTCTGTACATATTAATTAGCTAAATACTTGCTTCATTATTTCATTTAACCTGGTGAATTTGGGATATGATCAGCAATATGTTCAACTGTTGGAAAGTCAATCAATATGTTTTTTGGTCTCTAAGATACAAAGATATCTCTCTGAAATTTTCTTTAGACTTCATTGGGTCTTTTTGTGAGTGGCAGGGGCTGTCACATGGAATTTATATAGTAATAGTGCTTCTTCCAGTGAATAATGTTTAACTGCTTGGGAATTAGAAGATGGGATATATATTATTATTTATTGGTCTGTCATAAACCTGCTATTGTCAAGTTGCTTTTAACTTCCAGAGTGTCCTTCTATTCTCTCTCTTTGCTTTATGCTACTTTGTGTACAATACTTACGGAATTGGTTTTAAACTTCTAAAAATATTTGCGAGTTAGTCCTTGAGTGACATCATTCATTAGACCGGGGCATCAATGTTGAGTAAGCCCAAGCCATCTAGATTTTTACTCATTAGTAATTTCTGACTGCATATATACACACCTAAACTGATGACTGCTGACCTCTTAAAAGTGGGCAACTTTTCCAGGTGCTGGAAATCTTTGATTTCTGCCTCTGGACTTATTAAGACACACTGATGTTTCTTCTCCACATAGGTTTTTCCTGATGTAGGCTTCCTGACTTGCTCTTGGTGAGACAGCCTTGCTCTGTCTTATCTTAAACAATGCTTTTTAGAAACCTCTACAGCGATAGTTAATACAAGATGGTAGACAGCATAAGATAATGCATGTTTGGAAATGTGTATATCACATAGAATCACTCCTAGCTCTGCCCTATTTCCAGCATGTATATGGTGTTCTTCAGTTGTGAACAAGAATGGTTACCACCCACTATGTTACCTAACACAGAATGGTAATCTAGTCTCTTACAATTGTTGTCCCTATTTAACCTGTGTCTTCTCTTTGATCTGGAGCTAGGCTAGGCCTTCAGCTCATGAAGGACTGGAGAACTCATATTTTTTTCCCAAGAAATTTAATAAAAAACTCTTCAAGAATAGACTCAGTATCTTGCTACTTTCCAACCTACTTTATGGAGTTTTTAAATAATACTGTGATAAGTCACTGCAGGAGAACAAACTAACAACTTGGAGATGTTTGGGAGCTTCCTTGTTAGCTGTAACTACTATCAGAAGTTCTTTAAGTGCTACATGTGAACACCACAGGAGCTACACTCAGAGGAAACCTCTATGCTTATTGTCTAGTGAAGGAAATAATCCCCATACCTGTATGGACCTGTTCTGGCTGCACATCTGGAGCTGCCTTCTCTCTGTTCCCCACAAATATCTCAGCCTCTTTCTCCTTTTTCCCAGAACACAAGACAGAGTAAGCAGGGTTGATTCCTCCTGATTCGCAATTAAGAAGCCACTTAAGAGAAGGTGCTCTTCCTGGAAATAGATTTGATGTGTTACTAACCTTTAAACTCGTTTTTATTTTCAGTTCAAATTGACTTTTAAATGCCATATAGTTATATCTATACCTACGTCTGTGTCTGTATCTGTGTCTGTGTCTACTATGTGTGTATCTAAAAACAATGGAATTCTGAATAAGAATATAGGATTGCTAGAAATGTTCCATTGTGACACGCATGATCTCATATTTACTCTTGTATTGAAGTAATACTTTCTGACTTTTTAAATCAAGTCACTGTTTTACTTTGCATTTGCTATGTGAGAAATATTGTGTACCACTATATATTTCATTCAGAATATGAATAAACATTTTTTTCAATATCATCATAAGATCACAAAATGTTTGAAGTAAAGATACATACACAGTTTTAGGTTGCTAAACACAGCCACCACTATGCCAAGACCACCACCACAACAGTAATAAATCCCTTCCAGTTAGTCAGGAAAATGAAGAAATGAGAAGATTTTAAATAAGTCAATTAGAACTTATGCCATAATTCTGCTATCATGCCACCTTTATTTAGACAAACATTAAAAAAATTATAGGGAATTGAACCAAAAATAAGAAAGACCACCAGTCTAGCAGCCAGAGAGGAAACTTATGTGCATTATGAATGGGATGTAACTCTGTTTTGAAGATTCCTTTTCTCTCTTCCTCTAGAGTTGGCTGTAACCTATCAATCCACATCATAAGGCTACTTTTTTTTCTTAAGCAAAAGAGCATTTAAAGTGACCTGGCTAGAGATAGCACCCTATACCTTGTATAAAGATACATGAACCATTGTTATATATATTCATACATGAATATAGTATTAGATCAATTAAGGGACAATGTGGAAAGGTAGAAATAAAAAAGGTTCTAGAGTCAGACAGAACAGGATTTGGATGGCAGCCCTGCCATGCATCAAATACCTGGGCACTTGTTTGCATCTCAGTCTACTCATTTATACCAATTTTCAAGTGTTATTATATTAGAAATGATACATCTTGTACCTAGCAAGTAATATCAATGATTAAAGTAATTGATGTGGATCAGCTCATTTTTCAGGTGGCATATTTTTCTGGATGTGTGCTGCCTTTCTCACAAGTCAGTGACTGCATAAACTGTGATGAATTAAAGTTGACTGATTTTGGAAATCTGAATAATACCATAGTATTTTTTGGTGCTCAGACTTTAGATACACAGACTGTATTCTTTTCTACAGTTTTTCTGTGGTTAAATAGCATCTAGATATATTTATGTTGGGTGGCAAATAAAATACATTTTTCATTTTAGAAGCAAAGAATGGGATTGTTTCACCTGGTGAAATTTAATCGTTGTTTCTCTTGGAAGAAACTCTAGGCATAGCTGGAAAGGTGGGGATTATGGAGATATCCTTGGCTTTGAAAGCTGAGCGAAAGTTTGCTAAATGGACAAAAACAGGAAGGACATATTGATCAGAGCAACATTGGGGAAGTACTCTGAACAAACATGCAGCTATAGGGGGCTGAAAACACAGGATGAATCTGTATTGACATGGCTAGAATGGGAAATGAATTGCAGAGAATAACCAGAGATGAGGCTGGAAAGGCAGGCTGAACCCTGACTGTATGGCATAAAAGACTGCATACTATATGGTATGGCTTGTGCTCTCCAAATATAGGGAGCTTTGGGACAGGAAAGCATCCTAATCACTTCTCTGATTTGAAAACATCCTTTGGATAAATGAATTGACTTAGATCAAAGGAAAGAGAGGTTAGATCTGGAGAATCCCATCCCACCTTTGAAATAATTATAATAGTATCATTTTATAGGATAGGAAATGAAACTTTAAGGAGCTTAAGATGCTTAATCAAATTTTCTCAGCTGACCTCAAGGCTTGAGTCCTGGTTGTCTGACTCCAAAGGCCAATGTCTTTCATGAATCTTCTATTGTTGCCAGGTCTGTCTCTAAGAATAGTAGGTAGGCTCAGATCAGAGTAACTTCTCCCACCAATACTCAAATTCTCACATATTAATATAGGTTAACTTTATTTATTGGAATAGACAGTGCAATTCTAACTAAAGATATCACAAATGACTGGCCTGTGACTTTGGACTTTTTTGACACCGTGTGGCAGAACCATATTCTTTTCCCAATGAGCCATCTCTTTAAGTTACTGTGAGCCTCCCAGTTCTCCAGGATAAAGCATGAAAGCCAAGGGCAAGCCATTTGCTGATCACCAAAGAAAACTTTTATTAATATAACAACAAAGTGATAAGCCATTCATAATATTGGTCCAAGGCAAGTTTATATGCTTTCTCTGTGCAAAAATCTTCAAATGTTTTCAAATATGAAAGACAGCAACTATTTTTACCAACAAAATGTATTTCTTTGATAGGTAAGGCACAACGTCAGACTTTTTTTTTTTTTTTTGTGGAAAGGAAATATTCAGGGTGGCAAACAGAAAAAAAAAGAAAAAATTAAGAAAGTATTCAGCTTTATTTGATAGAAAAGAAAAATAGAAAATTGTCTTGCTAATTACAATAAGTTAATTGATTAGGGTACTCATAGAAACAGAAAGTTTCTTCGAAAATCAATACAAGATTAAGTGAACGTGACTGGTCGACTAAGATATCTGCCTGGAAAGCCAACTAAAACACAAATTGTTTAGAGATATCTACAAAAGCTTAGACTCTGAATTTAGAGTAAAATTACGTGCTTTTTTTGGGGGGGAGAAGGAGGGTTACTTTTTTTTTTTTTTAATAAAGTATCCCTATAACTCTTTAGTAATGAGAAACTCAGAATCTTGTATAAATCCAGAATCTCCCAATTTGTAGATGTTTTTTAGCTTGTCCTAATCCTACCCTGCTGCCCTTGAGACATGTTTATCTGTTTTTCTCCCTTAGCTCTGCCCTACTGGGTCTCTGTGCTTTTGCCTTCACAATTTGACAGAACTCCCCAAACTCCATCTGCCAATAAGTACATAATGTAGTCAAGGCATGGCTTGCTGGCAAGGGGTTTGGCTGTAACAAGGGATTGAATAGCTCTTTGAATTGCTACATAAGACTCAGATGTAGGACCATCACAAAATGCCTAAAATAGTGCCAGATATTGTAAGAGCCCTTAATAAGTAGGACTTGTGACAGAATAAAGAATATGTAATCAATTCACTGGCCCTTTCACTTGACTCAAAAGCCCGGCATTACCAGCAGCCACCAATCTGCTAGTTCTGAGAGCTGTGATCATTCATGTGGAAGG